TCAGGGATGAAACTGCTAAATGAACGTGTGTATTACTGATCCTCACACACTGCCAGCATCCCAAAAGTCACCAGCTAACAGCAGCTGCTTGGAAACCCTTTACAAGTCTCTCTTTCTTCCCCAGATGGTGAAGTCTTTTTTTCCCCTGTACATTAAATACTCAACAAAACACACTTACCAAATTATCATATCAACCCATAACCATGCATGATAATTATTTCTTAAATCAGGATCTCTTCCACAGAATTTCAACCAAAATAAACACGGTATAGAGAACAAATGTATGCTTATAGTGAACAACCATTCATCAGCTTAAGTAACTCTAATGGATGCCACTTTAAACTAAGCCTGCACCATCTGTTCTACCCCTCAATTAGCAGAGCCAAAAAAAATTGTTCAATACACAGTTTAAGCAAGCCAGATAATTCATGTATGTAAGTTTTATTTCTCCTCAGCTCAGTGAAGTATGCTCTTGTAATGCTTGATATTCAGAAAGAGATCAGAAGGGAAGGCTGCTTTCTCTAACACTATCAGGAGTTTTGTCAGGGGAAATAAAATTTCCCTGCGATATTTCACCATGTAAAATTTCTCTGGAACATCTCACCATACATTTTATTTTAAAGATGTCTCTGTAAGTAACAAAATCAACTAGGAGCTAAAACAAATCAAATCTGAAATCCTGCACACCTGAACACAAACGAAGCTCAGGACACAGCCCTGCACAGCTCTCGCCCTGACAGACTGGGTCTACCAGCACAGCATTCAGCCAGGAGGCCTTTGCAAGTGGAATTGTCCTCAGCCACGCCGTGGCTGTTAACCATGTCAGTTCCTAACTCCCCTTTCATAGGCAAAGCCCAGTCCTGCAAGCTGCTGGGCACAGAGCCTCACACAGATCAAGCTGCACTGGGGCAAAGGGATCGTCCCATGCGAGGGTGAGATACTCTCCTTGGCAAGCATAGCCTGTGCAGCGAGAGTAGTGCAGCACCAAAAAATCACTACTTGCTAAAGTGCGGGGAAAAAAACCAAAAAGTTTCATCCAGTTCCTTACTGCAAACCCCCACCCAGTTTCACTTCAAACTGGCCTTTCCTACCACTCTGCAACATGAGAAAACATTGAATAGAACCTCTCATCAATTTGATGGACCTTGACCTGCCTGATGGCTCTGTCACCACCAAATCTCTAAGCTAAGTTCACTCTCCGGTGTTGCTAGTCAAAAAACAAACCAGCAGTACCAAGGGCTACTTCCTGTGTAAACCTCAACTCCAACAGCACAGGCCATACATCACAGGGAAGAGAAAGGTGCAAGAGACCTCAGCCCCATTACTAGATGGGGTGACAGTACAATACTCACCTGTTGTGAAGCAGGCAAGAGAAGGTCACTGCCCATCACCCTCAGTTCACCTTTAGGAATATCAAGCTAGTAGAAAACTACTTTAAGATCCTGGGCACATTCCTTTATGCTACACCTCAAAATGAAACATCAATGGCACATCATAGCCTGGGTACTGAGAAAGGCACATCAGCCACAGATGAGTCAGGAGATCCTGCATACTTAACAACAGCATTACTAAATAGTGCCACAAGCAGCTCAAAGTGAGATTGTTCACCAAGGAATTACTGATGATTTCAGCTGTCTCCCCTTGCTATAGGATTGTGAAGCTGAGAGGACATGCTGAAGCCCCTGACACTGCTGCACCGTTCTGCTTCATGTCTCAAGACAGCTCAGCGCAGGTCTTAGTTATTGTTCAGGGACTCAAAGCTCTGCAAAATAACTCTTTTTTGTTTAGCAGGGGAAGAAATGGACTCAGGCAGAACCACCACCCTTAAAACAGCACAGAAAGCAAACAAAGCACGTGAATAAACAAAACAGAGGCAGGGCTCCTCTTTGGTCTTCAGCATCCTGGAATACCTTCCCCAGCCCAACCTCAACAGTATACCCCACAACTCCTAGTGCCCACACAAACATGGGCCATCTGCTCTAAGTAACTGAGTTCCAGAGAAGACCGAGAGCTCTCAAAGACAATTCATCTTTTCACTCTGCACCATTCTTCTGTCTTTCACCTACCTATAAGTACTTCTGGGAAAACGCAGGCCAGGCAATGCCTGTTGGGTGCAGTTCAGGCGCACTCCTGGCAAGCACAGACATGCAAATGGCCTTGCACTGGACCTCGGTTCCTTGCTTCATATAACAATCATCATGTTTCCTTGACTTGAAAAGCATCCTGAACTATCCAAGTGCCTTCCGCACCTAAGGCAGCTGCCTGTTAACAAAGTAGGAATCAGTAACCAGGTCACAATGCCATTTGTTAGAAGAGTTTCAGAGTGCTGAGTGCTATCAGAAGTGTGTTAGGTCTCACTCGGTTTCACGTATGATACTTTTACAACTTTGACAGCACCAAGGAAAGAAGCATCTCTTTCGCCTCCATCATTGCTTTTTTGCTGCATCACTTGAAAGAGAAGATTGCATTGTCTCCAGTGCCGGTGCTGAGGTCAAGGACTTCACAAAATAGTGTCAGGTTAAAATAGAAATGATGTACAAAAGAACCACCAAAGCCTAAAAGTGTCAATGATGGTCATGACTTACATAGCTCAGACTTGTATGCCAATGAGGGAGAGACAGCTTGAGCCCACCCTGTAAAGGCATAGTAATTTCATCATCAGTTGAGGCTCCTTTTAATCCAAACTGAACTGGATTGCCTCAGAGATGTCACTTCTCTTTGGCTCACTGATGTTTCCTCAGTGATAACATACAAGCACAAGCGTTTAGTTAGAAGAGTCCTAGACATGCAGGAGCCATGAATCAACTGGATGCTGTCCCAAGATAATGGGTCTGTTATCCAAACCTAGTCTAATTCTGAGAGCATACACTTTATCACCTAAGTGTTAGGAAATTTCAGATCATGCAAATGATCTCAATCTTTGTTTTAAGCCGATACTTTTTCAAATGAAGGGAGGTGAGCAGAGAAACAGACTGCAAATATAATGGCTTTTTCAACCACGACCAAACAACTGCAGTTTAGCTCTCCAGATGGCTATTCTAGGCCAGTGATGCTTGGCCTTTCACTCTCAAGGTTGTTACACTAATCCATGAACTGGATCAGATGACACCAGCTACCCTGTTCTCACACCAGACAGAGCTGAGCTTCCGAACCCCCACGCCACAAGCAGTCAAGAAGAAAGGTGACAGTAACACAGATGCAGGCACTAAAACAAAAGGAAGATATTGGCATATGATGATACACTAAGCCTTGGTGGGATACTGAAGCAGACCTCACTACATCGCTAACCTCCAGGTAGTCGGCTTGCCCCACTCAGAGGTTTCACATCTTCTATTATACTCATTCACTGAGAAAACACCCTCCAGACATCCGAGACATGTCTCTGTTATGCTTACTAGAACTTATTAAACACAGCAAATGCTATCTATAGAACACGCACATTAATGAACAGCCAGCTCAGCAGCATGAGTTCTGGAACAGAGTCACTGCAGTACAGAAGTGTCACCAGTTTGTTACTGGAGAATGAATACCACAGTGAACACTGTAAGTGTGTAGTTCAACAGACAAAAGACTAGAAAGGGCAATAGAGGAGAGAGAGAACAAGTTATCCTAAAAGAAGTTCTGCACACTAAGTGTGATGCTGGAATTGCAAAGTACTGTATAGCTCTGTGATCCACATCACTTCAAAAAATCCATGCAAACAGCACATTTTGTAACAATTTCAAGTTTACTGTGCTTGGGTTACCTTTCCACCAAGAAACGTGAAAGTCTGTAAGAGAAAGCCAGTTAACAAGAAAAGTGGGAATAAGAATACGCAATGCTCTCGGAAAATTGTATGTACGCTGCTCGTTCATGACAGCAAACTAAGATTTCCTCATGTGCTCTGCCAGAATGGATCCTCTATTGAGACTGTACTGGATTTGGTGGTTTGTTGATTTGTTTTGTTTTGTTCCTACATGCCAAACAGCTTCTACCACAGCTGCTTGTTGACAAAAATGAAGAGGAAAAAATGCAGCTGTGCAGAACACATTGACCAAGACACTGCAATCTCACAACCACTTCAGTCAAAATTTCTGTTAAAAATAGTTTAAATTAATCTGAGGATGTTGAGCTCCAGAGCACTTGCAACCTATATGGCTAGTCTGTCTTTCACTTCTACAACAAAGAACTCCAGTACAACTCTCAGTTAAGTATCTTCAGGCTCAGCTCTGTAGGAACTTCTAACTCTCAGATTTTTCTGGACTTGTCAGAAAGGAACAGAGTCTCCTACTACATCCCACACAACAGCCCAAGAACCCTATTAAACTCAGAGTGCCTCTGAAGAGAGCAGGACAGGAGTTTTCCAAGCTACAGCTGAGAACCCTTCCCCACTCCCACATTACATGGGAGCAGTAGGACTTCCTCACTAAGACCTGTAGGGAGATGAAGCAACATGACAGGGATAACAAGGCAGTGGAGTTCCATGTCCTACGAACGCACTGCAACACTGTCAAATTCAACAGAACATACATACACATGCACAATACCATTTCCTGAGCTAAGTGCAATAGATCAATTTAGTTCAGTTGCCCACAAAATAAGCAAAAAAAGTCTAGCAAGATTTAATGACAGTGAAAACTACTGCTGTTTACATATGCTGTTTGCAATTTTATAAACTTTTTTCATATGGCAGGAAACCATCAACATTGCTAACTACTGGGATGATCAAAGCATGCCACCAGCACACAGGTACACAAAGAAACTAGGATATCACAAAGTATGCATGCCAAATGTAAATCCATTTATTAAAACTCCATCTACTGAATTCTTACTGCCTCGAGTCCTCAATATCGTATTGGTTATCAACTACCAAGAAATGGGACAAGAATGGTTGATTCAGCATAATTATCAGCTTACAGAACAGTATATTAGAAAGTCTACTACACAGCTTTCACTTAGATCAAGTAGCACTTGACATTGAAACTTCTGACTGTAATCATATTCCATCTGACAAATCTTACCTTATAATTGCTGGAATTTACCCATGAAGTGGCCAGTCCATCAACCATTTTATCCAGCATAGTCTGATCATGTTCAAGATCAGCTGACTTCTGTTTATCTGAGAAGTAATCTATCAATTCCTGGCCAACCTGAAGTCTCTTTCCAACATCCTTCTGCAGCACTTGCGCTAAGCAGTACTCCATAGTGGGCTCCATAGTGTCTTAGAAATACAGCACCAGCAAGAAAGCTAGAGGGCAGTAGGTCCGAAAAATCCCTCTATAAACGTACGCAGGAGGTTGCCTCTTTGTTAGATGAAGGTTACTGAGGGTCTGGGTTTCAAAGATGCAATTCTGAGAATGACAACAATGCACCATGTGTGTGCGAACAGCAGCTGGCAGGATATTAAAAGTCCAATTTAAATAACTAGTAATAGATGAAGCAACGAGCAGTGCTGTACTGTTGAGTCTGCAATAATTCCCAATTCAGCAGTCCATTCTGAAAGAAATGAAAAAGAACAGTATTATAGGTTAAATTAAGACTGGAACAAAAAAAAGATCGAAAGCATGTCACAAAATAGGTTATTCATATACAGCTGCGAAGCTGTGATAAGCTGGATAAGAGCAGCATTGTTCTATTTTAAGGAATCAGACAAGGTAGGTCAGGACAAAAACCTTTGGTTATTCTTTAGAACAGCAGTTACCCATCAGTTCCCTAGAAGTTTTAGGGACAGACAACAAATCTGGGGCTTAAGTAACAGCTGATTAGTAATCAATATCATTGCAACTAGCACCATCACCATTCACCCACAAAGGTGGGGACAAAATCCTTAACAGGTCACCAGGAAAACGCATCTGCTTTAAGAAGCGAAAGCAGGAAGAGGTCTGGATCCTGTTTTGACTGTTAGCCTTCAGCAATCAATGCCATCAGCTGGCCAGCCAGATACAGCAGTAACACTGGGCTCCAGGAATGTAAAATGAGCAGTTTTCAAAAACTACGTGCTCAAGCTGTTTCCAGGCTGAATTCTGTTACATCCCAACTACACACATCCAGGAAAGAGCACTCACACAGCCTAAATGCAGTTCAACCAACAGTGCCTGTGGTGTCCCGAGAACCAAGGCCATACACAAGAAAGGCCAGGCCAAGCTTTCCTGCCACTGAGACGCACAGCATCATCTCCGAAATAAGCTTTTGGCTTAAGAGGAAAAAAATGGCTACATATCTGGGGTTTGGTTATGTTCCTCAACCCTAGAAACTCTCCTGTCCAAGGACTCCATTAGGGACCCAGCTACAGCTTTTTTTTGTTTGTTAGTTTTTTTGTTTTTGCCCTTCCATCTGCAGCCAAACAAATCCCTCCAGGCAGCCAGGGAACAGACCCCAGGCCTGTCCTCCACCCTTGCACAGACCAGGGCTCCCAGCATCACCATACTGCTTCCTGAAGCACTCTCTCATCACAGGTTAGCTCTTTTAGGAGGGGATGATAAAAATCCAGTGTCTTTTTGTTTCCTGTCTAATAATACCCAAAGCTAGAAATCTGCCCTACTTTTTCCGCCAGCATGAAGAAAGCAGGTCAAGCTCAGAGCAAGGGAAGAGGCTGTGGAGCAGACACCTGGTTCAATAAACAACTGGAAGGAAGCTGGAGGCACTAGTTCACTAATTGGAAGCACTGGGGCAGCAAATCTAAATACCTTCTGTTTGAGCAAATAAGGCCTTCACAAAAGTCTTAATAAAACAAAGTGGATCTGACAGCAGATGAGATGCACACAAGAACCCTAGCCTGGAAACGAAGGCACACCTCACACAGCAGACTATTTCAGTTCATTATCTCACCTCCGTCCTCCTTGGCCAGACATGCAAACTGCCACATCTCACCAACACCACGCATAGCATCCAGATGCAGCACAGAGGCTTGTGGTCTTGAGCTTCCCTAACCCTACAAGGGCTGCCAGACATGTCCCAGCCGCCTGCACTGCTTATTCATCAGGCAGGAGGAGTCACCAGAGAGCAGGTCCCTCTGTTCCAGGCAGCCAGTTCAAATCCCCACTGGCTGACATCGATCAAAACTGGTTCTGTACATCCAGGGACTCACCTCAGCCAACTGCCTGGCAAATCCTACCATCAGCCAGAAGGGATTGTTTGTGCCTGTAGACTTAACTCCCTCCTCACCAGCAAAAGCTCACCCCCCAGAGCAGCAAGGAAGCATTAGCTGCAACTGCACACACAGCACCTAGGGTTTTAAATTAGTGCCATGATGGCTTACTGCTAGTGACCACTGCCCCAATCTGAACTGTCTAAACATACCAAACTCTCACCATTTTGCTTCAAGTCACTTCAAGAGTGATTTGACTTCAGATTCTAGAATTGTCAATACCACTCCCATCAATACTCTTAGACCAATGCCTTTTTTCTTTCTGAAAGGGACACATTGGTTCCAAACTAGAGGAAAGCCATGCCTTTTCTTATTGCTGCAGCTACAGTTTCTCACTTGTTTCAGTTTAGCACAAAAGCAGTGCTCTGAGCTTTCCCATCCTCAGCCAAAATGGTTCATGACATGGCTCCAACTACCCATGGCAGCACAGGCAAAAAAAAACAGGGCTACTTCAAGCAATCATAAAAGCGCAGCAGAAGTTTTCCTCTGAGTCTCCCTGTCTGTACCTTTGAACATTAGCTCCTGCCCTGCCCTCTAGCATGGGTTGGTCTTGCTCCTTGCTGCAGGTACTCCAGTTGTGAGACAGTATTACATACAGGAATCTAAGCATCTAACAGAAGGGTTTTCACACAGTAGGGCAGCATTTCACTGGACACCTCACTAGCAGAGAGCTACTAGAGAAAGGGCAGGTAAGTAATATTTAGCAGCTACCATGTTCTAGCTGAAACCTTTCAAGTTAGCTGTGTGGTTTGCTTCTGGACTCCAGAAGCTGCACACTTGTTCAGAAGGGGATTCTTCTGTTAAGCTGGATATAACATGGTGAAGAAAGTCCCCTAATTGGTTTTAAAATGGAAATGTGGAACTTGTTTAAACTTGAAAATTCAGATTACAGGAGGGTGTAAATGACTGTTAGTTACCACAGAATAGCCATTTTTTATTAACTTCACACATAGACAAGTCCCAACACATCCAAGAAACCATTAGCTGGCCATACTGCCATGAGAAAGGAACATTCAAAGTTTCAAGTCTTTCTTCTATGTGGTTTTCATTTAAGAGTTTGTAAGCCTTTGCCTACAAGGACAGAAACAATCTTTTAAGCAAACTAATATAAACAAATTATTTTTGAGTTCCTCATGTTTTAAACATGTGAAAAAAGGCACAGGATAAAAATTATGGTGCACTATAGAAGATCAGATTTGTGTCATAATCTTGAGGATTGTAGTCTAAAGAAGATCCACTATACATTACGGCACCACCATCAAATGCATACAGGGGAGAAGAGCCAGAAATACCTTTGAATCCTGGGGAAAACAGTAAGCCAAGAGGAAAGGCTCAGGCTGGCTTGCGTCTACCAGCCAACAGGTGTTTAAGTTGCACTTTTTTTAACTACAAAAAAAAAAAAAGAGCTTTTCCACACATGTTAGGAAGTCTGTTGACTCCCCTCTTCCTCACAGAAGGAAGTGGAAAAAATACCACCTGAGAAAACCAAGACCCAAGCTGACAAAAAATTACCCTCCCAGGCAATGAAGCATATGGCTGCTATACCCCATCAAGTTTGAAATCAACTGGGCAGATGCTCCCCACATAACAAGCTTTGGAAAACACAAAGCCACAGTCTCAGTCCCAGTGGTCCATTTCTGTTCCTGCAGAATTTAAATGCCATAGTTTTCAAGTAGCCAGTGTTACAAGATACAAACAACTTAGGACTAGGATTTTCAGTACAGCCTCTTCCCACAGAAGCACAGTCATGCAGAAGTCAAAACTAACAAATAAGTGGCACAGGTCCTGTCTTTGGAGCTCCTCCAAGTTTTGAGAAGGGTTGCGAATATAGGCTCCAATTCAAGGGTTTTCTCCAATCTTCCTGCTAGGCTTGTGGTTTGCATGCAAGAAGACAGGCTAGGCTACATCTGAATGTCAACATGTAGACAAGATAATCCAAGAGAAAAAAAAATATTCTCCCCACCACCACAGCTCTGTCACTGCAAAAACAGAGTTCCCTCTTTCACTAATAAGCCATCAAAACTATGTGCTTAGTCAAAACCTCTGCCAGTAACACCTAAATTTTCCATCAAGAGCTATCCAGCAGAAAGCCACTAGGGAAGATTAAGTTTAACGCCAGCTTGGAGCTCAAAATGATGAATTTAAAGGAGAAAGCTGACAAAGATTGAATAGCCCAAAGTTACTCATCCTAGATACTACGACCATAACACCATAAAAGCTGGTACAATTCACAGCAAAGCAACTGGCTCAGCACATAGAATAAGTCAATCCAAACAGTAATATATATAAAGGAAATACTTGTTACCTAAGATGCTGTGGCAACATTAAACTGAGTACATAAGCCAATGAACTTTTTTCAGTGCTTAGGAGAACCCCACTGACCCCAGACTAAGTGAAACTGCATTATTTGCAATTCTCACCTAAGACTTTATCTTAGGATAACTTTACAAGAAATTTTAAATCTTCTTCCTCTTGCAATGAGGAAGGAAACCTGAAGTGTAAAGAATGCAATACTACTCTCCCGGGGGCTTGTCTATACTTAGGACCTCTTCCAACATCACTATTTGACTTTAAAAATTATGCTCCACTCTCTTCTGCTCTAGTCATCAGGTTATCATCTTTGTCACGTTTCACAGTCATCTTCATTTACCAACCAACCAGTGCAGTCCACAACCTCCCCAGTTAACTGCTCTAACACAGCTAACTCAACACACAAGTTTGCAGAGAGACAAAATATTGCTGCCAGCCACGATCACTGGACACAAAAGCCAGGGCCACTCAATAACCAGGCCTTTCTAGTCACCTTCCTGAAGGTACCTCTGTACCTGCTTCCAGCCAGGAAACTTGCCAACAACTTGTAAACGTGGCAACACTTCTTTGGTGTTTCCCCCCCCCGCCCCGCCCGATATGTGGTTAGTTGTAGCCTAGCAGTTGTAGAAATAACACAGCAACACAGTTGTACCAGCAACCCTCCTTCTTCACAGGTCTCAGGACCTAACTGCATACCAACTTCAGTTTAAAATTAGTTCAAGGTACATTAGACAGACATGTCCTTGAACCTTGACCTTCCACAACAAAGAACTCCTCCTTCAGGAGATCTCCACCCTAGTCAAGTCCAGCAATTTTTTAAGTATAAAAGCTACCAGGCATCAGACCTGCAAGTAGTTCACCGCTACTGGAAGGTGGGCAGCGTAAATACTTAACTATTGGGTTTGCCAGCCAAGGCCCCTCGGGCAAGGAGTTCAGAGCAATTAGAACAGCACCTAGAAATCACATACTGCAAAGACCAAATGGACACTTCATCAGCAAGGCAGTGTCAAACTGCAGCTCTGCACAAAGGGTGGAAACTCTCAACCCCTCTGTCCACTCATTCTCCTCTATTTTTGCCCCAAACAGTGCAGCTACCCCCTGCCCAGAGGAGATTTGGTATCAGGCCTTTACAAAGTACGACACTCACTAAGCACTCAATCTACTCTACCCTCCATGTGCAAGTAGCAGTGGACAAAGCAGCTGTACTGACAGTCTCTAAGCTCAAAGTATTCTTAGTTGTTCAAACCCTCTGAGAGAATGAGGTGGCAAGTAAAACATCAAGTGTCCTACTTGAAGAAGAAAACAACCTTTTTCTGGAGCCAAAGGCAGTTCACAAGAGACAGCCACCCAGCCACTGACAGATATGCTCTCCCTTCTGTTGACCTGCCTCCATAAGTAGGCAATAATGTTTCTTTAGTGCCCAGGAATATTGCACAATCACTGTGATTGTTTTAAATCAGTAATTATTGTTACCTTGCAGTTGAGCCTCCCCCTAATCCAAAGATGGTTATCTTAGATTTCCAGCATGACAACTCATGCTTTTCTAATTAGCTGACATGACAGCCCTGTGCTTACCTCAGTGCACTGTCTCTTGACTGCATTTGATGCAAAGACTCCTTCCACACCCCCTATACAGTAAGTTTAACTGTCTTCAGACAGAGTAGCCAGCACACCTCTAGTACTCACCAGTACAGCCTCGCTGATAAGCAAAGCACTGCCTATGTAGATGCAGCTTCCTTGCTGGAATTGTGATTAGGTCTGCAACAGAGGGTTTCTTCCTCCTCCCACAGCACCAGCCACAGTAAGGAAGCATTTGTAAAACTCCCTACTGTTGCAGGCAGTTCACCCTCAAAAGAACCATGTCTGGCTGAAGGCTTGCTAGGACTCTGCTAAATATTAGCTGGTTCTTCAAACTTGCTTGGAGTCTATTAAGGGGTTCAAGTTTAAAGTACAGACAGTTACCAATCTACACCAGGGCACAACTTCACTGCCATGAGGAAAACAAGCAGATTTCTAGAATGAAGACAGCTGAAAGATTTCCAGGGCTTAAGCTAAGGCCTTCTAGACCCCCACCAATCCTTCTAGGACAGATGCTAGCTGTCAAAGTTACATTACCCTACCCTGGGTAAGATGAGAGAGAAGCTTCAGTTAACAGGAATTCTTACGCCTCTGCTAAAGGCTTGCATCGCTGCCTCGGTAACCAAACACCTCATACAGAGCCACCGATTTCAGCAAGGCATCAATCTTCAAAAAATCTCCACAGTAATGAAGCTGCAGCAAATCAAGATGACTTGCAGGTCACCTCAATGCCTCAATGAGACCCCAGTACCCTACAATAATGGAACCACTTTGCAGAGTGGGAGTAACCCTTCAAGAGTAGGGTAGAAAATTAGATGAGCTTTAACATACTTTGTTTCTCTAATACAACCCCTCGCTGAAATTAGTTTGGTTTTAACTTTGCCTGAGACCAAGGACAAGTCTAGAATGAGCTTTCAAGGTCTCCTTTCTTTTTAACAGTTTGAGCACCGAGATGCAGATTAAAATCCTGTAATGTTAGGAGCTGCTCTGTGTGACCCCCTCTTGTAGGCATCTCAGTTCATGGTTCCAAGGTATCACACTACAAGCAATTTATTAGGGGCCTGCTGGACCACGGGGAGGGGCGGAGGGGGCAGGGGGGAACAACAACAAGAAGCTATCCTCATGACACTTTACCCTGTAAACAGTACCTAAGTTGTGGGTTTGTGTGTACAAAGATATCCTTTCTCTCCCTCATTCTAGAGATCTAACCTTACCTTTAGAGTCTACAGACTCCAGGTCTGACACCTGTGGGACCCTGGCCAACAAACCATACAGCACTGACTCCCTGTGACTTCCAGCTCTGCAAGGTCTCAGAGCCAAGGGTGCACAAGGTCCCCCGAGGGGCTGTGGTGATGCATCCCAGAAGAACGGAGGTGATGTCCAGCCCCCTTCCTACTGCAACTAGGAGTGCAGGACAAAACTTTCCAGAGTCACATCCTAATCCCTCCCCAGTCCAGCAGCAATATTGGATGATCTGGAAAAACATGGGAAGAAAAGGAAAAGTACAGACTTGCACCTGTAGCTTCATGTGGGTAAAATGCTTAGCAAGGTTTGGAAGTAGAACACTACTGAGAATTAGAGCAGGGTGGCCCATCGCTTGCCAGATTGCTAGCAGGACAAGTGGCTTCACAGCACACATCTGAATCTTGTCATCTGTTTGTATTGCAATAGATGAAGTCCCTTAGGCTAAGATCACTAATTTATCCCATCCTGAAGATAGAAAGCATCTCTTAAGTTACATCAGTTGAAGAAAAAGATAGGAGAATACCAAGAACCTCCTATTGTACAGGCAGGAATGGGGTAGAAATTCAGTGCCTTTCCCCAAAGCCACTGCAAAGCAAGTCTCCAGTGGTAGTGGGAACTGAGGGCGAGATAACACCTTGGGGAAAGAAAAAACCCATACCACCACATGCTGGTACAAGATCAGCATAATTTAAAGAGATCAGTGGGTTTGATATAAATTCCATACTCAAAAAATCTTCCAGGACCTTGTTATTCCTACTGATGTATAACTGGCTAGTGATACGGGAGAAGTAAGTAGGTTTTTGTGTACAAGCCCAAGCCAGAACTACCCTGGAAGGAAGTACTTGAGAGACAAGTGCTAGTAGAAAAATGACAGGTTGGAATGGAAAAACAATGCACAAGATCAGACCTTGGGTACAAGCCCTCAAGGGACACTGAGTGTCCAACTAAGCACCTTTCAGTAAGATTTCTTCCCTCTGCACCCCACATCATTTTCTCAAAACATACACATGTATTTTAGACAATCTTAACAAAATGCGAGTGATGTGGGAGTAAAGAAGGGAAAAAAACCACACTCCATGCAGTCTACACCTCAAATAAGTTCACTCACAGAAGAACCTCATGCAGGTAAGCAGACAGAATTGTAGAATCTTTTAGGTTGGAAAAGACCTTTAAGATCGTCGAGTCCAACCATCAACCATGCCCACTAAACCATGTCCTGAAGTGCCTTGTCTACGCACATTTT